CAACTGCAAGAGCAAGAGCAATAATAAGAAGACAGGCTTTGGTGCAGCGTACAATTCTGGACCTCCCCGCGGTGTACGTGGGCTGCATCCTCCTCATGGTGGCCATGGGTAGGTTCTTGCAGTGCTGACCCAGAAGAGAAGAAAAATGAAGACCCCCAAAAAGAGCCGCGGAGGCCTAAGAAGTTACACAAGATGCAAAATTCGCTCTTCGGAGCGGGATGTGTGGATACCACGCATCCATGCAAGCACACTTTCAAAGGCAAGGGGCAAGGGTTGGGTGGTTTGGTTAGGTGGGGGTGGGTTCTCCTGCTCTGCTTGCTCTGCCCTGCCGCTGCTTGCCCTACCAAGACGAACTTGTGGGCTTACCCACGAGAGGACTTCAACGGAAGTTCAACGACCGGCCCTACGCGGGCCCCCGTAGTTCACTCTTTTAGCTTTGAGCAGCTCTCATGGGCTGCTGCCGACGTGACGCCTCGCGCTGTCTTCGGCTCTGGAGACGCTGGGTCCCCTGGGAAGGACCTTGGCACTCTTGTTGAGCAGAAGCCGTGTCTTTGTTTTGAGGTTTTGCCTAAACTTCTTAGGGGAACCACTTTTAGTAATGCCAGTTCGCTGCTTTTGTGGCCTCGGATCGTTCCCGAGACTCGGGTGTGGAGCTTACCCATTCCTGAGTCTCGCCACAGTTCCTTGTTAACGACACAGAACCAGAGGTGGCAGTGTGCTCAGCCTTTGGTGTTGCCTCAGTCGCACGCGGCCTTCGGGCCAAGTTTCAGTTGTGGCCTTTACGGCCTGCTTTTGACGCTAGTTCTCTTAGGGGAGCTTTTCTGGGAAGTTTTCCGCTTCTGGGTGCGGTGGAAGCACCTCCAGTCCAAGGCCTCAGAACTCAGGCCTGTGACAACCGGCAGTGCCCTCAGTGACGTCTGTGACAGCGTTAGTGAATGCGAGCCTGTTGTTCGTAGCCGCATGCGCAATCGCCGCAAGCTCCAGTTTACTTTACGTTGTCCGGAGGGAAGGCTTTGGCTTCAGAGGGCTTGGTGGCCTGCACGTCCGGCACGCAGGGTTGGCTCTCGGAGACTGACTGGAGTCAGGAACGTTGTGGGGCTAGGGGGGCTGTGGCGTCTCTCACCTGCTCGGTCTTGCTCGGCAGTCAGGAAGCTCCAACTCCGTTTCGCCAAGGTCAGGCTCCGTCGTCGTCAACGTCGTGCCGTTTTGTCTCTTTTGTCCCTCGGACTTCCGCCCCGGCCCGTAGGTGCGACTTCTGAGGACACAGTGCGTGACGTTTTGCTTAACCAGCTCAAAGGGGGGCGGGGCAGACGCAAGCCAAAAACCGGGTCAAACAACGACCACGACAGAGCTCCTGACAACCCTGACGAGGACTCCTTGGCGGATGCCCTTACTTCCTTCTTGGACAAATGGGCCAAAAAGCCGGCTCGCTCCAGGGAGTCGCCCCGGCCGGCTGGCACTCCCGAACGACAACCTTCGCTGTGCGAGGTCCTGCTCTCGGTGCTGAAGAAGTGTAAGCAAAGTCAGGCCTCGGACGAGGCTACGTTTCAACAGGTCAAGTCCGCCTTGACCAAACACAAGCAAAGCTCGAAGCAAACGGGGGCCACGGAAAAACCCCAAACCGTGCACAGGCAGGTGGTGGTTACGGGCTCTTCTCCTAACGCCGTCCAGGACCGCGGAAGGGGTACGCCTCCTGCTCCCAACAAACCTAGTCCTAGTCCTGCTCCTGTCTCTCGTGCCCCCAGCCAGCAAGGCAGACAGGTTCTAGGGATTAACTCAAGTGAGTGGACCAACAATCCGATTTTCCTTCATCGAAAAACTGTGTTGGAGGTGATTCAGGACGGCCGCATGCTTGAAGGTAACTGTACGGCAGTCCAAAGCACTCAGGAACTGCTGGAACTTCAGGACACGTGGCTGGCCTTTGACTGCAAGCAGCCTTTGACGGTCCTTGCGACCGGAGAAGCGAGGGGCTCAAGAGGCTGTTGCCTCGCCAGGGCCTCACTCCGGCGGGGACCTTTGTCTGCTGGCTTTTCCTGTGAAGAGGTAGGAGTTCTGGTGTTAGGGGAAGAGGGTTACGCTCCCAAGCTTAAGCCAGCCTCCAAAGTCGCTCTTTCGAAGTTCAAGGCTCCAGCCAAAGCCCTGATTCGGATCGTGGCGCCGTCCCACTACCGCGCCTGTTGCAAGGAGAGCCGACAGTGGGATTCCCCTCAAGCCATCGTGTCGGAAATGGCACAGTGGAAGGTTGAGGGACCAAGCACTCAGGCCAGTAGTCTCACGGGTGGCAACTGGCAGTGGACAAAACACAAAGGGTCGGATCAGCTGATTGGCCACTTGAAAGTCAGTGAAAGTCTTGCCCAGGCCCTGGCCCCTCACAGTGGTCGCCGAGGTATCTTCATTTCACTGATCAAAGATCTAAAAACTCCCGCGAGGATAGGATGGACCCCCAAGCATGAGGATGAAGAGCCCGATGACTATCTTAGTCGTTGCTCCAGCTTTGCATCCGCGCGCGGTGCTTCCCTAAAGTACCGATGCGGAGGCGGCAACGACTTGGGTGTGGTTAGGAAGGATGGCGAAGCTGAGGAAGTCAGAGCCGTTGTCGTGAACGTGCGGGCCCCAAAAGATTGGGAGGCGGAGGGCCTCCTCGCCTTTTTGCTTGAGCAAAAGTGGCTCGAGCCTCAGGTCTTGAACAAACGAGGCCAGAGCTGGTTGGTTAAAGGCACGCCGCCTCACCCAGCCTCTACATGGAGATACATCGATGCTGAGGACCCCAGCATTACTGTACACGTCACAAAGGCTCAAGGGAAGCCCCCCTCGGTGCGCGAAACTGTGCCGTTGCGTGCTCCCCGTGCGAAGCTCAGTGAAGTGAGCGCTAGGCCTGCTGAGCAGCGCAGAGGCAGAGCTCCTCCGGACGCCGCCACAGGTGCCGGCGCTGGGCCCCGGGCTGGCAAGGACACACAGGAGATCGGTTCCGACCGGGCTCGGAGCCGCAGTAGAGAAAAGGACACTACTGAGAGTTCCAAAGCCCCCCCTCTGGCTCCAGTTTTTGATCCCATGACTGATGCTCTGAGCAGCGGGTGGAAGATCAGAGACCTGGGCGGGGACGGGGACTGCGGTTTCCGTAGTCTGTCGGGCGCGATGCACCACGCCAAGGGCACCCCTTTCCCTGACGATGTTGCGGTCGACCAAGCTCGCTGTAAAGGTGCTACCATCCGAACTCAGTGTTTGTCGCACATCCGTAAGCATGTCGATCGCTATGCTGCCTTCCTCCAACCGGATGTTGATGGTGGTGACATGGATACTGAGGACTTGGAGATGTACTTAGGCTCCATGGCGCACCCTCGTGCTTGGATTGACGGTATCATGATCCAAGCTGCAGCAGAAAAGTACGGTCAGGTCGTGGTGATCTGGCACAAGTCAAAGCCGCAGATGGACGCTGCTGGGCTTGTCACTCAGGCCAACTGGCAGCGAACCACTTTGGCCCCGGACTGGGCCAAGGATGGGATGCCTAAAATGGCAAAAGACAAGTCCCCCATAGTGCTTAGGCTTGAGAATGAGCACTACACGTACATGGTCCCTCCGGAAGGAAGCGAGGTTCCTCTTGCTTGGCTTAGAGAAACTTCCGTGCCCCATAGGAGGCTTCTCCAAGGCTCTGCGGGCCCGGGTAGTGAGGTGAGTGTGGCTACGCCCTCACTGCACTCGCTTAGGTCCTGCTTGGACAGGCGGCAGGGAGCTACTCACTCAGGGAGTGCTGAAGACTCTCGAAGCCTCTCCGCTGCCACGCCCTCAGTTTACACTGTCGCCAAGGGTCCCTTGCAGGCCTCCCCGAAACCCTCAAAGAGCAGACCTGAGGCGTCAGAAGGGTCACGCCCCAGAAAAAGTCGTCGCGTTGAGGCTTTTTCCACTGGGCCCCACTCCCCCGGTCGAGGCAAACCCTCGTTTGGCTCGGCTTTCTCCTCAGGCTCCCCGGGTTGCAAGGCTCACTCTCCTTCTGAGTGCAACTGCAAAGCTGAGGTCGCGCCTGAGCCTTCGCTGTCTAAGGGGCCCTCAACCCCGTCTCTGCACACCTTCATGCGGCATGCTGCTCAAGAGGCGCCCAAGCCTCAGCTTGACCCCGCAGCCTCCCTTGAGCCCCCAGAGGTTCCCCCCCGCCGGCGCCTCAAACGCAAGCAGCACCCTTTGGGGGAAGACGAGGACACGGGGCACGAACCTCTTACTTTTTCAGAAAAGTCTGGACACCGAAAGAATCGGATTTCTACGGTCAGCTGGCCGTGCCCCTTATGTAAGGCCGTGTTTACGTGGACGGGGCACGACAAGGCCCTTAGCCAGAAACAGCGGCACATGAAGCTTGTGCACAACACCAGGTTGTCGGCAGTGGGTGGCTCGAAATCCGATAAAATGAAGGACCAATGGGAAAAGAACCCTCGGCAGTTCAAGTCGGGAGCGGAGGCCACCAAGAAGGCCTTGCTCAGGGCCAAGCAGCTCAAGGACCAGCAGCGTCACGACCTCGCTCACGCCACGTCCATGGGCCTTTTCCCTTGCATCAAAAAGACATGGTTTTGTCGACGGTGCCTGGTTAAGGGCAACACCCGACAGATCACGGACAAGGCCTGCGAGCCCGAGGAGTGGGGCTGGAAAAATGGTTGGGCCTTGCGGGGCCTCACAGGCAGGCCCTGGCCAAGGCCTGTGACTTGTCCGAACAGAAAGTTGCGGAGTTCACGGAGCAAGCCACCAGGGTGGTTCAGAACGCTCGTCCTCGCAAAGATGTCCAGTCTGAGGCAACTAGGCGTAGGGCTGCCGCTAGAAAGGCCCAGTGGCGAAAGGATGAGGGGTACACTGCTGAGCCCGCTTCTCTTCCTGGCAAGCTCAACGCTTCGTTGCAGATGCCCCGCTTGAATCTGAAAACCTCCAGTCGCGGAGGTGGCATCCGCAAGCGGCCTGCCGCTGCTGTGGGCGCTGCCAACGCTGGGGTCGCTGAGTCCCCCCCTCAGAACGGACCGGACTCGTCATGGCAACGTGACCTTACCGAGGAAGGAGTTGAGCGTCAACCGGGGCCCCAAAGGGAGGCTCGGCGGCGCAGAAAAGCAAAGCGAGCCCTTCCGATCTTGCTCGTTTGGCAGCTCAATGTGGCTTCGTTCGCTCTTAGAGGGTGGGACTTGCTGGCCGCTGCGGAAGCCAACAGGGTGGACATCGTTGTTATGCAGGAAACTCGCATGACGTGCGAAGAGGCCGCGCGGGTCAACAACAGTCTCCAGCGATGGACGTTGTTTCATCAACAAGAAGAGCCTCCGGAGCAGCGGGCTACTACCGAAGGCGGAGTGGCTGTGGCGGTCCGAAGAGGCATCCCTGCTGTCAAAGGAGCGTCGCACTGTAGCGGTGCGGGCCAGTGGCTGCGCGTGGCTCTCCCGGGGCTTCATGTGACATCGGCCTACCGAAGACAGCTCAGCTACGAAGAACTGGCAGACTACAACGAGTCTCTTTGCGCTGACTTGGCGAGTTTGGGCAAGACGGCTACCATGACTTTCGGAGACTGGAATCATGATCCTCTTACCGACCCGCTCAATGTGCAGGCGGCTGGGACCAGAGGTATGGTGCACTACCCCACCCTGCCCAACCCTGCTGAGGGCGACGAGCCTCAAGAACCTCTCCCCGCCCCGACTCGGTGGGCCTCGAATCGCTGCATCGACTGGGCGGTGAGAAGCAACGTTCAAGCCTCAGTTAAGCTCCTGCTCGACAAGTGGTCAGACCACAAGCTGTTGGAATGGAATATCGCGGGTCTCTCGACGGGGGGGCTTCCGAACTTCAAGCTCAGGCAAACTTCGGATCTGCGTAAACCCGACAATGTGTCTCAGAAGCAGTGGGATGAGGTCATCGACCGCTTGTGGAACAGGTCGGCTCAGGAACGCTGTAGCACCAATTTGAGCGAGTGGGAACAGCTTTCCAAGGCTGTAGAGGACGTGATGCGCGAAGCTCTTAGGGAGCTCGGAGCCCAGCGTCGCTTCACGACCAAGAACTACAAAGGTCAAGTTGCTGCTGTAACCCCGGATGTGCGACACCACAGGCCAAGCCCTCAGGGGGTCCCGACAGTCCGTACTGCTAGGCTGCGTCGTTTCGGACGGCGTGTTGAGCAGTACCACCGGCACCCCGAGCCTGCCCTGTCTCGCAGTGTGCTTAGGGAAGCTGCCTTCTTCGAGTGCCCTTCCTCCCCTCTCGAGCCTGGCTCTCTCTCGGACTTTCGACTGTGGCTTGAGAACGAACTTCGTAGACTGGAAACTGCTCAACGAGACAAGCGTCTTCGGGAGTGGAAGCAGAAGATGCAACAGGAGGACGGTCCGGTCTGGCGGTGGCTCGCTAAGGCCAAAAAGACCGAGGTTACGTGCGGGCTCAAGGACTCCAGCGGGCAAGTCATGACGCCCGTGGCAACCATGCAAACTGTCGAAGCTTTCTGGCGTCGGCATTGGCCCGGCAGCGAGGACCTGGCTGACAAACTAGAGGTTGTTGAGAACTTGTACCACGAGTTTGGGCTAGGGGACCAGGTCCGGCACCCTGGCATGCCGCCTCTCTCAGGCAGCGACCTTAAGCGCACCTTGTCACGGCAAAAGGGCAAGGCTGCGGGCCCAGAGGGTTGGAGGCCGGAAGAGCTGTGGAGTTGGCCGGCGCCAGCCTTGGACCTGCTCGCGGCTTTCCTTAACAAGGTTGAACAGGGGAGTAGCTGGCCCAGAGCCCTCAGGCAATGGCGACAAGTCCACCTTAGTAAACCAAACAAGCCTGCCGGCGAGTTGGGAAGCCTGCGACCCATCAGCATCGGTTCAGCCGTCTATCGGACGTGGTCGGCCACTCGGATTCGACAGCTCGGGCCTTGGCTTCGGCGTAGGTTCCCAGACCAAGTGCACGGAGCCTTGCCAGGTAGGGGGGTTCACACCGCCTTACTTGAGCCGCTCGCAGAGATCGAGGCCGCTCAGTGGTCTTCTCAAGGGAGTCTCCGCTATCTCGGCTCCTCTGACTTATCTAAGGCCTTCGATACGATGCACGGGGCCCTCTCGGTCGGCGCACTAAGGCGCTTAGGAGTGCCGCAACCTCTGTGCGATGCTTGGCACCGAGCATGGACCTCCCAAGAGCGGGTGCTCCAACTGGCGGCCTTCTGCAGCCAGGGTGCGGTGACTGAGGTCATGGCCTTGCCGCAAGGCGACCCGGCGTCCCCGGCTGCCTTGACAGCTCCTCTCGTGGAGTCCCTTCGGCGCATCCAGAGTATCTTCGCTGAAAGAAGACATGGGCGCTCTTTGTTCAGGTTGTTTCTTGACGACAGAAGCTGGTATTGCGCAAAGCGCAAGACTTGTCTGGACGTCGGCCGAACGTGGCTTCAAGAAGTATCGGTTTGGGGTTTGGGGGAGAACAAATCCAAAGCGGATTTCGGCGTTGTGGGTTCGGCTCAGGCGCGCCGGCGCATGCAAACCGAGCTGCGCCGTCGCGAGCAGGTGGGGGAAGTCAAGCTTCGCCCGCGCCTCCTGGGCTCTCGCGTGCACACGAACAGGGCGCACAGCAAGCCACAAGGAGAAGAGCGTGACCGGCTCGTTGAAGCCAAGAAGATGGCAGCCTGGGGTAGTCACCTGCCCTGCGACCAGGCCCGAAAGGCCTACTTCCTCAAACAGACTGCGGTGGCTAAGGCTGCGGCTCCCACGTACGTGAGGCTGGAGGCTCTTAGGGCTCTTGAGGGGGTTCAGTCTACTATCAATCGAGCTGTTCGCTCGTCTGGGCATGCCAGAGGAGGGAGTTTGGCTGTCTCAAGTTCCGTCATGGGCATGTTGCTTCGGTCCAGGTTTTGGTTCAGAGTCATCTGCCTGTGTTGCGGGCTGCTTGGCATCAAGGCCGTTCCTACGGGCCCGTGGGTTTGGCTAGGAGGTGGATGCAGAGGCATGGGTGGAGCGAGGCTGGGGTCTTTCGGTGGACGCACCCAGTTACTCAGGCCACTTTGTTCTCTAGTGATGTCCACTTAGGCCGGCAGGAGAGAGGCATTCGGCTAAGGGAGCAAAACAAAGATGCCATCAACCACGCCTTGCGTGACGCTTGGAGGGCTCGGTGCTGGGTCACGTGGCTGGCGCAGGGCTCTAACCGGGCCAGGCCGCTGGCCGCTCTGTCTTGGCCCCAGGTGCGTGGCAGGTTTAAGATGGCTGTTAGTATCTTGAACCAGCTCCCCTGCGAACTGAAGTCTCATGCTCAGGCGGTCATGGTGGGACACATGGTGTCCCCAGCGGCATTCCACGTAATGTCCAGTCCGCAGGCTGCTATGATCCCCTGCCCCTTCTGCGGGTCTCAGGAGGCGCCGGACTTCGAGCACGTGATGTGGGTGTGTGAGTACTTTAGTCAGACAAGGCCCGCTTGCGGCGCCCTTGACCCTTTGCAGCTTTGGCTTGTGTGGCCATCACAGGCTAAGGCAAAAAAGGAGAACCTTCAAGTGGTACTTCACGCAGCTGAAGTTCGGAGGGGCGTGCTTCGCGCGCGCCATGACACGGACTCCTAAGGACCGGTGCCAGCAGTGCGGCAAGAGCGCCTCGTCAGGGCGAACCTCTACCGCACCAGCAACTACTACTACAGGCTTTGGTGCATCTTCGAGCTTGCTGCGTTCCGGAAGGCGAATTCATCAGGACGTACTGTGCTGAAGCCCCTCTACTTGGAGGTCGGCCTGCTTTATGTGATCCTTGCGAACTATATTGTCGTTCTGGTCGAAGAAGCGAGAGTTAGGTATGCAGAGGACGAAGCCTGGGATGTGGATGGCTGGTGGGTTCTAGCACGTGTCTCTATTTCGATTCCCTATGCCCTGCTGCTTCATGGCTTGCGCCGGCTCTGCCACGAGAAACGCCATCTCATTGAGAATATCAGAAGATTTGAATTGGCAAAGGTGAGCTGCCGCCTCAAGAGCGACAGAGATTTCATCTATGCTGGCATTCGTGAGTGGTATGGAAGCGAGGAGGCATTCGAGCAATATGTGCGAGGCACGCTCTACGACGAACTTGTCCATCCGTTTCGGAGATCAGACTTTCCAGCTGTGTATTGGCTTATGGCGATGACGACGTTGTTTGCAAACCAAGTGGATATTTGGGTGACCAACTATAGAAACACATCTTCAGTCTCGTCAGGTCTTTATCAGTTCCGACGATTTCTGGCGCTTGTCGTTGCAGACCCTTTGACAGGCATAAACGGTATGAGCTATACCTTCTTCCTGTGTGACTATTTGGCACGCCCTGCAGCAGGAATGTGTGATTACGGAAAGACTGTGCTGGTTTGGTCTGTGCTCATGCTCGGTACCTATGGGTGGCTGCTCCAGTCTGATATCATGGCCGCCTCGGAAAGAATTGAGGTCACTATTGCCATTTGTGCTGCTCAAGCTGTCGCCTACGTCTTTCTCAGGTGCTTGGTGGGTGCAAAGATGAGGATGATTTGAGGTTCTAATGCCAGGAGATGAAGCTTTGGAGGTGACGGTCATGTCAGGGAAGGGGGAAAGCCGATGCTTCTCATCATGTCACGGTGCGGATTCCAGGTGTTCCACCAGTTTCACGCAGACGAGATTGGCCCAAGGACCCTCGATTTCTGCAGTTGCCATAAACAGAAAAAAGAGCTGTTACCCTGGCGCGGATGTCAGGCTTGTGGGCTTCTGGGGCAGTCTCGCCAGAAGAATAGTGGTTTGGTACAGTGTCCTTGCAAGAGTATACCTGCCCGTGAAGACCATTTTGAAAATCTCCCTTCGGCTGACCTGTTTTTATGTATGGTGTGGTTGTTTTGGTGGTTTACCTGCCATGTGGGCTTAAAGATTCGGGAAACCGCGTGAAGACATGCTCGAAAGTTCCCTTTCAGCAATTTGGGCTCAGCGTTTGGATAGTGCAGCAGTTCGATGCAGGGTCATGCAGAGCAATACTTCTGCCTTCCAACAACAGGACATGTCTGGCACACTTCTCTAGGTGAAGTGCTCGCAAATTGAAGCAGCTGAATGAACTGAACATACGAGTGTGCTTGAAGGCATTGCGCAGGTTCTTTCTCTGCACGTATACACCCAAAATGCTGGTCGAGGCGGGATGCTGTTCAACCCTGGGCCCCTAAACCCTAAAGCCCTAAACCCTAAGACCACAAACCCTAAAGCCCAATACCCCTCACGTGGAAGTTTCCCAAAACGGGGTATTGCCCCTATACCCCCAGTAGAATCCCTTGTAAAAGGACCCGTCAACCCTAAACCAATCGTAGGGGTCTAGGGTTTCGGGGTTTGGGTTTAGGGTTTAGGGTTTAGGGTTTAGGGTTTAGCGTTTAGGGTTTAGGGTTTAGGGTTTGGGGTTCAGGGTTTCGGGTTTAAGGTTTTAGCAGCCCTGATGCAGGAGGCTCAGCCACGCCTGCCGAACGGCCCGACGCTCTGTGCCGACATGCCGCCTGGCTGGCACACAGTGTTGGGGGCTTCTAGTTCTGGGTGCCTAAACCCTAAACCCTAAACCCTAAACGCCAAACCCGAAGTGCGGTTCAGCTAGCCCATGCAAGGTTCAGCTAAAGGTCCAGTGAGCTACTTTGATGCCATGTTGCGAGAAGAGCAGTGACCTTTGTGAAAGATTCTAAGCCCTGGCCCCTGGTTTAGGGTTTAGGGTTTAGGGTTTAGGGTTTAGGGTTTAGGGTGAAGAGTTTAGGGTTTCGGCTTTAGAGCCAGGAACCCAGATCCCCAAGCTCTCTCCGTGGACAGGGTGAGTTGGCCCCTGAATACAGTGCTGTACCTTTACCTCGTTTAGGGTCTTCCTAAACCCTGAACCCTAAACCCCAAACCCTAAACCCTAAACCCCAAACCCTAAACCCTAAACCCGAAACCCTCTACAAGGGCATCCTGCCAGGAGGCTTTGTATCCATGCTGAACTCAACTCGCAGAGGGTCTCGGGTCCAGGGAGCCCCAGACCCCAAACCCCATACCCTAACCCGAAGCCCTAAGCCCTAAACCCTAACCCCCAAACCCCATACCCCAAACCCCAAACCCTAAACCCTAAGCCCTACACCCTAAACCCTAAACCCTAACCCCCAAACTTGCCCTAAACCCTAGATCCTAAGCCCCAAACCCGAATATCCGCAACTCACCTTCCCCCCCTGTGCGTATCTCCACGGCTCAATGCATCTCAGGGCAACCCTAAGCAAACCAAAAGCCCCGAACAAGCCCTGAAGCCCCAGGTCAGTGGAGAGAAAGACCTCCATGACCTACCTCCCCGTATAGAACCCTAAACCCTAAGCCCTAAACCCTAAACCCTAAACCCTAAACCCTAAGCCCTAAACCCTAAACCCTAAACCCTTGAGGCCCTTGTGAAGGGGGCCGCACTTAGGAGGGTGCTCGGTTTCTTCTTCCTGAACTGAACTTTGAACCCGAAACTCATTGGGTGCAGGCCTCCCTAGCATCGCCCCCTTGGGTTGGATTGGGGTGCAAGGCTTGAGGGTTTATTGGGTTTAGGGTTTAGGGTTTAGGGTTTAGGGTGTAAGGGTTTGAAAGGGCTAAACCGGGTCAAGCCCTCAAATCCTAAACCTCAAGCCCCACACCCCAAACCCTAAATCCGCCAAAAGACTTAAAGCCTATCGAACCTCAAAGACTCTCGAAAAGCCCTGGCTATCACATCTTTGGGGGCTTGGGGTGTAGTTCAGGTCTACAAAGGGTGTTCGTCATAGGGTTGATAAGGGTGTAGTTTTCTAAGAGTCTAGGGTTTTAGGCCTTTACAAGGGTTTATAAGAGTTTATAAGGGTTTATAAGGCTTTATAAGGGTTTATAAGGGTTCATGGGCCTTTACAAGGGTCTATATCCGGCTTAGGGTTTGCGAGAGTTTCGTCGGGTTTAGTAGGGGTTTAGGGTGACCCCGACGCCTGACCTATGCACCGGCCCCCACAGGTCCAAGACAGCCCACGCCTCGGGTGGAGGGTCCGAGGGAATCGGCTTAGGGTTTGGGGTTTGGGTTTAGGGTGTAGGGTTTAGGGTTGAGGTTTAGAGTTTAGGGGTTGGGGGCCCAGGGCGGAGGGACGCCGAAAACCCTGGAAACTGCCAAGCCCTTAAGCTTTCAACCCTAAGCCCCGAAAGCCCTGGACCCCAAACCCCAAAAACGCAAAACCCCCAAAAGCCCGAAAACCTTAAACCCCAAAGCCCCAAAGCCCTGGGAAGGACCGGTCTTTGGGTGGCTTTCGGTTAGGAGGGGACGCCGTGGTTAGAGCGGTTTGGGGCATGTCTTCCGGGCTCTCTAAATTGCGGTTCCCTTGTGTGAGCTGTAAAAGCTTCCGGGATATCGCCGCCTGTCTCTGGCATGTTATTGCTTTCTGTTTTTCCTTCTTCTTCAGCTTCCTCTTCTTCTTCTTCTTCTTCTTCTTCTTCTTCTTCTTGGGTCTGGAGACCTCTACACTGTAGCCGTCACCCTCCGGGTTGAGCCCCAAACCCTAAACCTTAATCCCTGCTCAATTGGGTAGATGCTTATTTTTTGGGGGTTTGGGGATTGGTTTTTTTTTTGGGATTTTTTGGGGTTTTGCGGCTTGGGCCTGGGGCTTGGGGCCAAAGGTTAGGGCGTAGGGTTTAGGGTTTCGCCCCTCAGACTTGGGATGTTCCCACGGGACCTACTAGGGATTACAGTGCAACCTTTTTGAATCCCTTTTGAGGACTGCTAGGAGAAGGGGAACATCCCAACCTCAAGCCCTCTCAGCCCTAAACCCTAAACCCTAAACCCTAAACCCTAAACCCTAAACCCTAAACCCTAAACCCTAAACCCTAAACCCTAAACCCTAAACCCTAAACCCTAAACCCTAAACCGATGCTGCAGAACCCCCAGGCCTCAGCAGTCCTCTTCTTGCAGGGCCCAGCCTCGAGTTCAGAGTCTGGTGGTTTTGTTGGGTCTCGAGTGCGGGGGGTTTGGGGTTTAGGGTTTAGGGTTTAGGGTTCAGGGTTTAGGGTTTAGGGTTTAGGGTGGGCTTTAGAGGCTAAAAGGGTCAAATTCGGGGTCTCGGGGTCGTGGCTTGGCCCAGGTCAGTCCCGACTGGCAAAAGTGGCTCACGCAACATCTTTTCAAGCCGGGGCGCTCGGGCCAGGTCGCCGCAATAGGGCCCTGCGCCCTCGACCCTAAACCCTAAACCCTAAACCCTAAACCCTAAACCCTAAACATTAAACCCTAAACCCTAAACCCTAAACCCTATGATCAAGATGGGAAGTATCAAGCGGCCCTGGGCTGGTAGTACCTCATCGGCTCCTAAAGCCCTAAACCCTAGACCCGAACCCCAAACCCTAACCTCAAACCCTAAACCCTAAACCCTAAACCCTATAGGTCCTTTTTTGAGGGGGGGGTCTCTGTTATGGTTGAGGCCTCCCCGAAGTATCAGCCCCTCTTAGATCTCTCTCCCCCCCAACCCCCAACGCTTGACCGTCTACTGTAAGCCTTCCGAGCCCTCTAGGACCCATACACCCAAAAAATACCCAAGGAATGCAGAACTTTTGTCCGGCGTGGCGCGGGCCTCGGGCGCCACGAGGGAGGAGGGGTTGGCTAAGCTCGGGACTTTTGGATTCATGGCCCGGGTTGGGGGGTCTTTGGTTTAGGGTTTTTAGGGTTGAGGCTGCAGGGTTTCGTGATCTTCCATGATCTTTGACTCTTGTGATGCCTTATGTCAAAGGCGACTCGCTCGGGATTCCTGCCCCGCCGGAGCAAGCCGATGTAGCCAAGCTTTACAGAGAAGCTTTCATGGAGGAGCGAAACTGGGGGTTTTCGAAATAGGGGACCCCCAATATAGATCCCAGGATCCCCAAGGGCGCTAGGGTTTCAGGCTGGAGAGGTGATCTAGCCGCGAGGCGATGTGAGTATCGACCTTTGGGGGCATATCGCATCCTGTGGCTTTGAGGGGGCGGCAATTTAGGGCTGAGGGTTTAGGGTTGCGGGACTAAACCCTAAACCCAAGGTTGGTGGACCCTTGGTGGTGGGACTGCTAACGCCACAGCGGAACGCAGGGGACTCAGAGGGGTGTTGTGCTGTGGGGTTGGGGCGGTTTTGGCGGGTTTGCTGGCGTTCCAGGCTGCTGCTTGAAGCGTGGCACCGTGCAGCTCCTCTTGACTTCGTCTCCTCCAAAGGCCCCAGCCCTGAACCCCTAACCCCTAACCCCTAACCCCTAAACCCTAAACCCTAAACCCTAAACCCTAAACCCTAAGCCCCCACAAACGAAACCTTAACCCCCCCCTCCACCCCCTCCACGGAATCGCACTGCTGAGGCCATGACCCTCGCGGCCAAGGCCCGGCCCATGCCGAGGGTTTAGGGTTTGGGGCCTTAGGGCTGAGCCCTGAAGTAGCACAACCAACTCCAATCCCTAAGCCCTAAGCCCTAAGCCCTAAGCCCTAAGCCCTAAGCCCTAAGCCCTAAGCCCTAAGCCCTAAGCCCTAAGCCCTAAGCCCTAAACCCTAAGCCCCAGGCCCTGAACAGCCCGAAAGCAACCCGGTGTGCCCTAGGAAAGGATGGCAAGCCGTCCTTCAAACGGAGTGACAGGGCCACAGGCCCCCCAACCCTACAACACTACTCTCAGGCCTCAGGGGGCCCTTGAACACGTAGGTTCTGAAACTCCAAACCTACTCAACGCCATACTCAGCCCCTAAACCCTAAACCCTCAACCCTACACCCTAAACCCGAAGCCCCCTGGTCATGTGTGCGCGCTGCAAGGACATCAACTCTTCCTTCTTCGGGCTGTATCGGCAGGCTTGTGGTTGTCTGGGATCTGCCTTCCATGCGCCGGAGTTCTGCAGTCGTTTGATAACGTGCTGGGGTGGGGCTTAGGGTTTAGGGTTTAGGGTTTAGGGTTTAGGGTTTAGGGAGTGAAGGGATGGGTCGGAGAAAGCGTCCTATTCTACGGTCGAACCCCTCAGATCCTGCTCCTGCATCCCGACGCAAAAGGAGACCGCTGCACACTTCTCAGCCCCACAAATCCCTGAGCCGTCAGCCCCCCTTCCACCCCGCCTTCACCCTAAACTCAAACCTGAAACCCCAAACCCGAAACCCCAAGCCCCAAACCCCAAACCCTAGACCTTAAACCCCCCAAATCCAGGTCTTCCAAGCCGGCCACGCCTCTACACCCTAAACCCCAAACCCTAAACCCTAAACCCTAAGCCCTAAACCCCAAACCCTAAACCCCAAACCCTAAACCCCCCCCCAAGACCAGGTCTTCCAGGCTGGGCTCCTCCAAGCCTTCCGCGGAGGCTCCAGGCTCCTTCTGGAACATTCGGGGGGGCTTTTGGGGTTTCGGGTTTAGGGTTTAGGGATTTCCCGTTTAGGGTTAGGGTTAACCGCTCCTAAACCCTCCCTAAACCCTCCCTATAGGGGGTAGGGTTTAGGGAGGGATTAGGGCTTAGGGCGGTTTTGGGCTCTTAACTCTTAAACTCCTTGCTGCGAGCATCCGGCAAGGCCCTGAAACCCTTCACCCAAAAGGAGCTGGCGGTGGTTTAGTGTCGTCTTGAGGTCGAGGGTGAGGTTTGTGGGTATACGGAGGTCTTCGGTGGAGGCCCCTCTAGAGCCCTCGCAGCCCCTACCGCACAACCACCCCAAACCCCTAAACCCTATATAAACCCTAAACTCTAAACCCTAAAGAGGAACCCCTAGACCCTAAACCCTAAAACCCGAAACGCACCTAAGCCCGCGATTCGAAACCCTAACCCCTGCTAAGCCCAAAGCCTTGAACCTTGAACCCGAAGTGCTAAGACCCTAGAACCCAAAAGCCCTTAGCCCTCAGCCCTAAACCCTAAACACTCAACCCTACACCCTGAACCCTACCCCTCCCCCCCAAAAGAACAACCCTAAAACCCTAAAACCCTCGAAGCCGTGGCATGCTAAAACCCTAACACCCTTCACTGGGCTCTTGTTTAAGGACCTTAAGCTAAGTGACCCACAAAAGGGTTTAGAGGTTAGGGTTGAGGGTCTGGTCCCCTGGATATGGTCCCTTCATGGAAGCGCCTTCTACAAGAGCCCGGCAAACCCCATAGAAACCTCAGACTTCCGCGTGGTCGAAGGCGCCAGGCTCCAGCGCCAAGTAGCCATAGAGAGAGCCGGGATGAGGAATCCGGTTCTTCTTCTGCCTCCTGTTGTTATGGGGTCTGGTCAGGGTGGAACCCTAAATTCTCAACCCTAAGCCCCTTACACCCTAACCCTGAGCCCTGAACCGAAACCTAAAACCCAGAAGATCTTATGAACCTCGAGCCTGACACCCTGAGCTTTCAGCCTCAAACCGAGCTAGGCTCTTCAGTTCTTTCTAAACCCTAAACCCTATTTAAACCCTAAACCCTGCACCCTAAACCCTCAAGTTGTACGTTCTTCGTCCCTCTCCTCACCGGTCCAGCCGGGAATGGCGCCCGAGCCGTCAGGCCCAGCGTTTGGGGACTTGGAGCCCTAAGCCCTAAACCCTAAACTCTCAGAATAAGGTTCTTGCCAGAATTGAGAGTTTCGGGTTTGGGGTCTAGGGTTCACTTGTGTTGGCTTGGGGTTTGGGGTTTATGGAGCATGGTGTTGAGCGTTTATAGGGGTTGCAGGGATTTATAGGTTTATAGGGGTTTTAGGGTTTATAGTGTTTACAGGTTTACAGGTTTTACAGGGTTTCCAGGGATAATTGGGTTTGCAGTGATAGGCGTCTTGTCCTGCAGGTGACCCGCCGAAGGATGATGCGGAAGGCCTAGGCGTGCCCATCGCGCCGACGCCGGAGGGGCAGACGGAGACGCGGAAGGCATGGGGATTTTGGGTCCAAGCTTTTGGGGGCTCCTACAAAGGGAACATAGCAAGTTTGGGGTGCATAGGGGGTAACCCCAAACCCCGAACCCTAAACCCTAAACCCGAAACCCTAAACCCGAAACCCTAAACCCGAAACCCTAAACCCTAAACCCTATTCTTGAAAGGAGCACATGGCCACTGAGAAGCACGTGCTTGGCCACGAAGAGCTTCTCGCAGTCCAGAGGCAGAGCTGAGATGAAACACCCGAGGGCCCACCAAGCCCTGGAGTTTGGGGCGTTTAGGGTTTAGGGTTTAGGGTTTAGGGTCTTAGGGTTTAGGGTTTAGGGTTTGGGGTTTGGGGTTTAGGGTTTAGGGTTACAAGTTAGGTTACAAGCTGGATGTCTCATTCCCAGGGCTCTGGCGAAGAAGTTCGGTGGGGAAACCGATCCGGCAAAGATTTGCGACAAGGAGGGCAAAGACTACCTCTGCACGGAAGTGGTGCTGGCAGAAAACAACAAGCGGGTCCACGTAGAGCTGAACAGAAGGGGCATTACCAACGCCTGGATGCCGACCATGGTCTGCACGAAAGACGCCTGTAAAGTCGAAGGCGAAAACTATGCAACGTACAATGAGAAGTCGAAGCGCTTTCATGGTACTGGTGGCCCGCAAAAAGGCAAGTTCGCAAAAGGCACAAAGGGGCCGCCAATAGGTCTTGTCACGAGCAACAAGGAGCGATCGAAGTGGAAGAATCCCGAAACTGGCTCTCCTCGCTCAGACCCATTCGAAGATGGAGAACCAGAGGCAGGTGCCCCAGAAAAGACGGGAGGCATCGTAGAAGGAGGTGGTACGAAGACGGCCGTCAACGCCCAGGGGGAGCACGTGCAGGTCACCGCAAACCTCCGCGAGGATGGCATGGAGGAAATCGACTACACGGCGGAGAAGAAGAACAAGGACTTGCCTTGCTTGCTAATTTTATGAAACTGACCCCCAAAACTCCCAACCTTCTAGGCCGACCTCAGGCCCCCTATAAGCCCGTCACGCCCCAAGCCCCTGAGCCCCTGAGCCCCTAAGCCCTAAAGCCGCGACATCCGCGGAAGGCTCCTCTGAAACCACTTGAACTGCTGGTAGCACCCCAAAGGCACCGAAAGCCCTAGAAATTTTAGGGTTTAGGGTTGAGGGTTTAGGGTTCAGGGTTTAGGGTTCATGGTTTAGGGTTTCGGGTTGGATTATCAGGGTTTTGGGGTTTAGAGGATGGCACCACGACGACCAAGTACAAGAATGCAAGCCCTGTCGACGCACCGATCGGCCACTCGGAGTTCTTTGAGACCGACTCCTGGATCGCAGTTTGAGCCATTTTTTTTTTTTTTTTTTTGGGGGGGGGGGGGGGTTGGGGTTTAGGGTTTTAGGGTTGGGTTTTGGGGTTTTGGGGTTTTGGGGTTTTGGGTTTTGGGGTTTGGGGTTTTGGGGTTTTGGGGGTTTTGGGGTTTTGGGTTTTGGGGTTTTGGGGTTTTGGGGTTTTGGGGTTTTGGGGGTTTTGGGGTTTTTGGGGTTTTGGGGTTTTGGGTTTTGGGTTTTGGGGTTTTGGGGTTTTGGGGTTTTGGGGTTTTGGGGTTTTGGGGTTTTGGGGTTTTGGGGTTTTGGGGTTTTGGGGTTTTGGGGTTTTGGGGTTTTGGGGTTTAAGGTTGTTTGGGGTGTACGGTTATGTGGTTTTTATATTGTGTTATGCAAAACTCTATATGGTAGAACATAGATTCAACTACGCTGCACTGCGCTACACTGGCCGCTACACCGTACCATAGCATACCATGGCATACCGTAGCATACCGTAGCATACCATAGCATACCATTCCGTACTACACCACACTGTGCTATGCCTTATTATACTATACGAAAACATGTTGCAGCTGTAGCTTTGATAGTTTTTTGATATATACAACAACGATTATGCGAACTGCGGCAGCGAGTGTGAAGTTCCCCAACACAAGCCCGAGTACCTCCCTGAATCCCACTGAGGTCACATCCATGAAGGGTGACCTCTTTCAGACCCGCATGTCGGGCCGGGCGGAGTTGGACAAGAAGACGCTGGAGACTCGCATGGTGGAGTGCGAAAGCAAGACCTACGAGCTCCGCGACGCGGTCAAGGATGCGCTGGGTCGCGGGCTGGAGGCCCCTCGAAACACAACGGGGATCTCTTCCGAAAGCTGCGGTTTAGGGTTTAGGGTTTAGGGTTTAGGGTTTAGGGTTTAGGGTTGAGAGGCCCGGTGTTGGCACCCGAAGAAAATTTAAGGCATGCATTCTCACGAGAGCCACAAAGCACCCCGAATCCTTACCTCAGCCCAACCCTTCACTAGAGCACGCGTGCTCTTTGTGCCACTTTCTGGCACTGCGCTCGATGCCTGACAGTCTGAAAACTCTCCATGAGCACCAATCTGATGGTGCTGATGGTGCTCATGATGAAGTTGCAAGTGCTTTCGTATAAGAACTAGTACCCACACACACATGTCTTTATGATTGCAAGGGACAGCTATTTTAGCAGTATCCTGCGTGGTCTTTGCATCTTGCTACTGTTCAAGACGGGCACTTCTAACAACCTATAACAATGGCCGATGACGGCGATGATGTTGTGTCGAAGAATCGTCGACTTTTTTTGTCACAGCCGACGTCATACCAGGGACATGATTGCTGTTTGTTATGACCATTGAAAGGCGGTGCCAGGGGTGGAACAGTTGTCAATCAGAGGCTTTGCTTGCAGGCGCTCTTGCACCAGAGTCTGAGCTGTCGCGGCGACAGATGAAGTCTTGAGACTGGTAGGTGGATGAAGGTAAAGAGGCAGAAGAGAGCTAGAATGGCAAGGCAAATATACGGAAGGGACCCCCCAAACCTTGAAGCCCCAACCCCCAAACCCTGCTGGGACCATGGTCCTTGGTTTCAGTAATCCTGTGACAGAGCGCCGTTGCATTGTTTCAGCCGGTGTTTGCCCAAAAGGCCGGAGCATACGCAGCAAGAAGGAAGAACGAGCAGCGCCTTTACATTTCTGCGCAGCAGGAGAATGCAGCGATTTTGTCTGGCCTGGGTGAAGCCTCTGCACAGGGTGCAACACAGGTGGCGGCACTAATTGCTCGGGAGAAGATCGAGCGAGCCATTGGTGATGATGTGCCGCAGGAGGTGGCGTCGGGCGCCGTTGGGCCTGGGTGCACGGCGAACTTGGTCGGCCGCGCCGTCGGAGCCTTTGCCACGTCCAGTGGATCATGCCCAGAGCGTCTCGCGAAAGCAGCGCAAGCCGCGGGAGAGGGCGCGGCTGTGCAGGCTGCCGGAACTGCGCTTGCACAGGCCGGCATTCCGCTTTGCCCCACTACGCTGATCAACGAGGAGGGGAGGAAAGGCATGGAGTTCGCCGGGGGCAGCATGGTGTCCGTGGGCCAGAGAGATCGCTACGGTTCGGGGCAGTTGGAGGACGGCACCACGGTCACCCGCAGCGCGCACGAGGAGGGTGTTCAGCTCAGGGCAGGCGGAAGCCTTAGTCTGTGCAGTCAGAGTTCCCAGTATTGTCCTTGTCTTTTCATCTTGAGCGGAGATCGCGGTCAGGTCTGGGAACAATGCTCGGGGCGACTGGGAGTCCAGGTGCTCTGCTCACCGGACTGGCCAGCACGGTGGGCATCTCTGGCAATGTGGGCGTGACCGATCGCACCCACCTGGCACAACGACCGGATGGCAGCTTCTCGCAGCATTCGGAGACTGTGCGTGGTTTCGCTGGCGGCGTGGATGTCGTGGGTGCCTCGAAGACCTCGAATAGTCGCACGTTCTTGATTGTGGTTCCTTAGGATCTGTTCCAGACTTGTGTCGGAGCCTTCTTGCACCACGACCCTGCAGAACCTGAACCTGAACCTAAGACTAGGGCAGCACCATTGAAAGCCGCCAGCTGCTCAGATTTCAGGGCACAGGTTGCTTACTGCCTACAACCTAGAATGTTTGTTGCCAGCTAGTACCTGGAACTGGGCCTTCCGCACGGAAGGCGCAATCCTGAACCCAGGTGTTGAAAAGCTGAACCTGGACACGGGGCACGCGACCGTCAGAAGCAAGGAGTACGAGAAGACGGGGCTTTGCAGCAGTTGCACCACCGAGACGGTTGAGGAGTCTTTGCATTCTTGAGAATGGCCCTTTTGTCGTTTCAAGTTGCCAGGGAGGTTCATGGAGGTTCTAGCCCAGAGCCGAAGAAGGTTCCACCGACGTGCAGGGGATCCCCCTAAACCCTAAACCCTAAACCCTAAACCCTAAACCCTAAACCCTAAACCCTAAACCCCAAACCCCAAACCCTAAACCCTAAACCCTAAACCCCTAAACCCCTAAACCAGCCAAGGAGGAGGTCCGCATCCTGGGCCAGAAGGCGTGCTCCGAATCCGTGAGCTTCAAGCACACCAGGGAGGGCTTGCTGGGCTCCAAGAAGGCAAGGAAACGTAGGGTTTAGGGTTTAGGGTTTAGGGTTTAGGGTTTAGGGTTTAGGGTTTCAGAACTCCCCCCAAAAATCTCGACATATGCTTCCTCATAAAGGGTAAAGAAGGGATAGTTTTCTGTGTGGGGGTGGCTCTAAAGTAAACAGGAGTGAGCCAGCGAGCTGCCCATCACCCCTAGAAGCTTCGTTGAAGGTGGTGCTTGACTGCAAGACGGGGGAGGTGGCAGAGACGGAAGAGGGGCTGCTCTTCACGACTTCCCGGGAAGGATCTGGGTCGGTGGACCGGTCCAGTGGGAAAGCTCGCTTTCATGAAGCGGTTTCCTGCAGCTTCGGGGTGCGACAGGAAGTCAAGGATGCAGCTGGAAAGGGCATTGAGGTCGGAGGATCGGAGGCCCGCCGGGCCAACGAAGGGCGGCTGTTCTGCTCCGCAGCGGATGCACGCCAAGCGCTGCAGAACGCTGGTGGTCAAGTGGCTTTTCAGGGTGCTGGAGGTGTGGTCGGCTTGGTTACCGGCGAAGTGGTGGGGAAGGTGGCAGGGAGCCAGGCTGCTGGGGCAGTCCTTGGTGAGGCAGTTGCTGCTGGCAGCATGGCGCTTCTTGGGCAGGGCGACCAGAAGCTGGACAGGGCTGTGACCACCGCAGGCGCCTCCTTGGCACTCTCGGCATCGCAGGAGGTGGCGTCGGGCGCCGTCGGCCCTGGGCGCACGGCGAACTTGGTCGGCCGCGCCGTCGGAGCCTTTGCTACGTCCAGCGGATCATGCCCAGAGCGTCTCGCGAAAGCAGCGCAAGCCGCGGGAGAGGGCGCGGCTGTGCAGGCTGCCGGAACTGCGCTGGCACAGGCCGGCATTCCGCTCTGCCCCACTACGCTGATCAACGAGGAGGGGAGGAAAGGCATGGAGTTCGCCGGGGGCAGCATGGTGTCCGTGGGCCAGAGAGATCGCTACGGTTCGGGGCAGTTGGAGGACGGCACCACGGTCACCCGCAGCTCGCACGAGGAGGGTGTTCAGCTCAGGGCAGGCGGAAGCCTTAGCAAGATTTGCAGATGCAGTTCTAGGCAAAGCCGCTAGGTACAACGTGTAAGTTCAACGCAGGAATTCCAGGGAATTATGGGAGTTGAGCCGAGTGCTGTCTCCCGCCATATTGAAATCAACAAATTGAGGTCTAGGCACCGTGATGGCCGCAAGTGGCGCCGGCGTCTTGGCTTCTTTGCCTTTGTTCGGAAAAGTTTCGCAGCATCTTTTTGTTCCTTTTCCCCTCCTGAGAATCCGATAGCTCGCCCTTTGATTTCGTAACGCATGGTGACGCGTTTTTCAGCGCATAAAGAAAATTTTCGCACTCCAGGCAACTGGGGTTGGGAGCCTGGTGGGCGTCTCTGGCAATCTAGGGGTCACGGAGAAGGTGGAGCGTCGGGAGATGGCCAATGGCAGCTACTCCATGTTCTTGGATTAGTTCTAGAAGATCAACTTTTCTACAATAATCGCAAGGCTTAAGGATCAACACGAAGTTCTTCCGTCTTGCTGTTCACATGACCAGACCGATAAACCATCTCCTTGTCATGAGCGCAGCCCAGGGACATGGAAACGGTGTGGGGATTCGCGGGAGGAGTGGATGTTGCTGGTGTCAGCATGAGCCACGTCCTCGGCTTCGGAACTTTGGACACCGGCGCCTTCATGGGCGTTCACGTGAAGGGCGGCGAGTCGGCCGCAGGGAACTTCATCATCTCCGCGCAGCAGCACTGGAAGCAGACAACCCACACTCGTGGGATGGCCTTGATGGGTCTGAAACTGGAGGCGGGGTGGGCATGCAACACCCTCTAACTCTCCTTGCACTGTGAAGCACCTTAAGCAGTCATCTATCTTCTCGGTAGTTTGACATACCAGCTTCGTCTCATATGGTGTTCATTTCTTGTATATGTATATGGAGATGTATATGTATATGCATATGTGTATGTGTATGTATGCTTACACGTAGAGTTTAGAGGGCCCGCAGCAGCCCTTCCTGGGAGGTGCCATACCAGCTGTCTGAGACGTCGGGGGAGACGCTGAGCATTTGTGGCCTCGAGTGGTGCCCCAGATGCTCTTCAGAAGGGCCCTAAGCCCTAAACCCTAAACCCTCAACCCTAAGCCCTAAACCCTAAACCCTAAACCCGAAACCCTGAACCCCAAACCCTAAAACCCGAAACCGTAAACCCAAACCCTAAACCCTAACCCTAATGGTGCCATTCCTCCGAATGTTCAGCGCGAAGCCACACCCCGAAGCCTTGTTACCCCTGAACCCTAAAACCTAAACCCTAAACCTAAAAACCCTAAACCCTAAACCCTAAACCCTAAACCCTAAACCCTAAACCCTAAACCCTAAACCCTAAACCCTAAACCCTGAACCCTAAACCCTAAACCCTAAACCCTAAACCCTAAACCCTAAACCCTAAACCCTAAACCCTAAACCCTGAACCCTAAACCCTAAACCCTAAACCCGAAACCCTAAAGCCTCCTAATTGACAGAACCCTAAACCCTAAACCCTGGATCTCGTTTAAGTTAACCCCAAAATCTCAAGCCCCTCACCCTGAGCCCAAGGTATCGGTGCTCTGAGCTGCGTGATACCACGCTCTGGGGCCAAAGCTGTGAGAAGCACCAGACATTCCTGCTGTTGGTGGAGGCCGACCAGCGGTTCGTAGGAAACTTGTTACGGCCCAAAGGAGCACGAATGGCAACCCAGCCGTTGGACAGGGAACAAAGCCCAACACTCCGTCCCAAACTCCCCTCTCTACATTCCACCCTTCGACCCGACGAAGCCCGAAAAGTCCCCCAAAACCTTGCAAAGCCGAGGCTCTGAACCCTTCTACCCCAAGGCCTTATAGGGTTTAGGGTTTAGGGTTTAGGGTTTAGGGTTTAGGGCTCGCAGGTTCGGGAGAGCTTCGTGGAGACGTGGTTTGGCAGTCGCCGGAATCAGCTTAGCATTGCCGCGACACCGGAACTGAAAGGCGCGCGATGTTCCTTCACTCATGGGCTGAGTTGTGGCATCCCATAGTTGAGCCGCGGTTTAGGGTTTAGGGTTTAGGGTTTAGGGTTTAGGCGTTAAGGTTTTTCTTTTGGGGTTTTGGGTGAGGGTTGAGAGGATCAATCGTCGGATGAGTCGCAGCACCGAGTCATCCGATTGTGCATCTCTGTGAGCATTCCGCCCAAAATCATTTGAAACTCGGTAAAACGTGACACCCGAAACCCACGAATCTAAACCCAAAACCCCAACCTTAAACACTAACCCCAAGCCCGTGATGTCCTGCGTCGAGGCATCGTGGGGCGGGGCGCCGCGTCTGCCATTGCTGCCTTCTTTGCGGCCAAGCGCCAAGGACTCGCTTGCTCTTGTTTGCGGTTTGGGGTTTGGGTTCAGGGGTTTAGGGTTTAGGGTTTAGGGTTAAGGGGTTTAGGGTTAAGGGGTTTAGGGAAAAGACGGGACATGGTAGAATGGTAGAATGCAAGCCCTTGAAGGAACCCTTTTTTGACAAAAACCAAGCGCCCTAAATCCTGAACTTCCACAATCTCCTAAGCCCCACCAACTCCCCAACCCAAAACCTCCTAAGCCCTAATTTCCGTAAACTCCCCAAACTCGCAAAACTCCCCCAAGACTTCCTCAACCTGTTAAGGGTAGATTTAGGGTTTAGAGCTTAGAGGTAGATTTAGGGTTTAGAGCTGAGGGCTTAGGGTTTAGGGTTTGGTGAACTTAGGTCAATGATTTCTATATTCTCTCCGACAGGCAGGGGCTGTTAGACTTCCTGCTCTTTCCTCAATCCTATCCTGAGCTCCCCTGCGCCCTAAACCTTAAACCCCTGAACCCGAAACCCCTACCCCCTAAGCCCCTAAACCCCTGAACCCCTAAACCCCTAAACCCCTAAGCCCTAAGCCCCTACACCCTAAACCTTAAACCCCTAAACCACCTTAAACCCCTAAACCCTAAACCCTGAAGGGGGAGGAGGATCCACTTAGAGAGCGCCCTGGTCAGAGGAGCCAGCAGCCGCGAATCCCTGGCCCGAAGCTGCGGCGTCTTTCGCCAGGCCAAGCGGGGGTTAAGGGTGAAGCATTTATGGGTTCAGGGTTAGAGTGGAAGGGTTTAGGTTGAGGGCATAAGAGCCTAAGGCTTTAGGGTGTAGGGGTTTAAGGGTTTAGGGGTTACGGGTTTAAGGGGTTTAGGGTCTAAGGGTTTAAGGGTTTAAAGGTATAGGGTTTAGGGCATTGGGTCGTGGGGAATCCAAACCCGAGCTATCCCCATAGGGTTTCGGGTGCAATGCTTCAGAAGTTGACGGTTAAGGGTTTAAAACCCTGAACCCTAAACCTTGAACCTTAAACCCTGAACCCTAAACCCGAAACCCTAAACCCTAAACTGGGAAGTTGGGGAAGTTAAGGGCTTTCGAGATCCTCACCTGCGCTTCACCCGCGCTTCCCCCTTTGGGGCCTTTGACGTGGGTCTTCCTTTGCGTACGGGGTACCATATGGGGGTTTCTGAAAGTAGGGGTACCCTTTTTGGGGGTCCCTTTCAGGGGATTCTATTCTATAAGGGGTATTTGTCTGTTGGGAAATGCCCATATGAGTCCGGTACCAGAAAGAACCTGGCCAAGTTCTGGAACCCCCGTCATCAGGCCGCCTTGGACGGGGCCCTGGACGTGGGCCTCTCCTGCATGGCCGCCAACCTCTCCAGCACCCTCTCCAAGACGCTCTTGGAGAGCTCCCCCGCCTGGGCGGCCCTGAGCCCGTTCTTGGAGGCTCCTGGGCAGCTCGAGCTTGGGTAGTAGGTCGAACTTACGTACTTACCTCGGAAACTTCGAAGCAAACCCCCTAGGGCCCCCAACCCTCGAACCCCCAAACCCCGACCCCCAGCCCCCCGCCTAAACCCCAATAACCCCTTCCTTGCTGCTTGGGAGGATGGGGTCGCCTCCTTGGTACGGCCTGTGGTCCAGTCGTGCTTGAACCTGGGCCTGCCTTTGGCCTTGGGGATTTTTCGGGCTTTTTGGGTTCTTTTTAGGGCCCTTAGGTTTATTCTTATTTTCTCGTGTGTTTCTTGGAGTTTTTGCGAGCTTTCGTTGGTTGTTGTTTCCCCAGGGCTTTTTTGGGTTTCAAGGAGTCTGAGGGTGTTTAACTGGGGTTGTTTGAGCACTTGGGGGCCTTGTCTTGTGGGTCTCTGTGGTAAGGCGGGTCCTGGTGCCCCAAAAGGGGCCCTAACCTCTGCGCCCAGGAAGGGCGGCTGCAAGGTCGAGGACTTCGGCCGCGAGTGGCTGAAGCAGTTCATCCAGCTGCAGCTTTGTCATAGTGGGATAACATTTTTCATTTTTAAGGGTACTTAAACTCAAGAAGAATAAAATTTTTAAAATTTTTATTACTATCCCAACTATGAACCAGGCAGCTGCTGCGGCTCCTGAGCCAAGTGGGTGTTCCCGGGACCGCCCTCCAGCTGTTGGCCGCGAGACCAGACTGCACAGCAGCACGCTTCCCTTCGGCCTGAGCTCCCTTCGTCCGCAAGAGAAAGGGCTACCCCCCCTGTTCGGGTAACTTCCCCCATACCTGAACCCCTAGACTCTCAACCCTCAACCCCAAAGCCCTGCCGCCCTAAACCCTTCAGTGCCCTACTTGGAGACCCTAAACCCTAAACCCTAAACCCTAAACCCTAAACCCTAAACCCTAAACCCTAAACCCTAAACCCTAAACCCTAAACCCTAAACCCTAAACCCTAAACCCTCAACCCTAAACCCTCAACCCTAAACCCTAAACCCTAATCCCTAATCCCTAAACCCTAAACCCTACCCTTATGCAAGGAGCTACTCGAAGATCTTCGACAACCTGGCGCGCGGAAACCTCGACTTGCTCCAGCTCCTGGTCGACCTGGCGCCGGCGGTGCTCGAGGCGACGACGTGTGAGGACCCCTTAAAAAACGCCTAGGGGGCTTAGCTAAGGTTCGGGGGTCTTTTGGGGGTTTAGGGGGGTCTGGGGTTTAGGGTTAAGGTGTTTTTTTAGGGTCTAGGGTCTAGGCATGGAGTCGCCCGCGAAGCTTTCACGAGCAGGTGCTGCTCAAGGCTGCAGTGTCCGGCACGCCCCACGGCTGGATCCTGGCCTACATCGTGGTGCCGCTGCTCCTGGAGCTCTTCAAGACTGCCTCGGTGCCTCGGGCAGAGGGCACTTGGGCCTGAGAACATGGAGGTTCAATGGAAGAGTTGTACGAGTAGGGTTGCTTGTAAACGTGAGGCTGCAACTATGCTTACCCTGCTTTTAAGCCCAATCTTTGCGACTACCCATGAAGCTAGTACTTCAGTCGACTGCCCGAAGGCTTTTAACCCTGAGCTGCCCAGCCACTGGATCGCAGGTGCAATGCGTGCTTGGCCAAGTCTCCAAGGCGGTCGTCGCCTGCGCGGCTTCCCTGAAGGACGGCTTCGTTGGATAGTTTCTACTTTCCCTTTTTGGGATTCTTTTTTGGGTTTAAAAGGATCATACTGAGGAATCTGTTTCAGAAGATTTTGGGGACCAAGCTAGTTTATGTTGCTGTAGCTTGGCTTGGCCAGGTGCTGCAACGATCGCAGTGTGTGGCACTTCGGTGACTTGGGGGGTGTGCGTGTGGCGGCTTCCCTAAACCCTAAACCACATGGGAGTGGAGTAGTCAAGGATCAACTCTACTCTCATACTCCCTCCAAGACCCGATCACTGCGCCCTTTCTTTCCTTTTTTGAGGTCTCAGTTTCAGATCCCAAACCCCGATGAACCACAAGCTCGGAGGGCAACATTTCTCCATATCTACGTGGTACCTCAAGTGTGGCATCTCGGGCATCTCAACAGGGTTTCTGCGGGGTTCGCCCCAAAGTCCCCCCGAGCACAGAGGAGTGGGTCGCGCAAGCCCTCGCGATGCTGGGCAAGTTCCTCGCGGAGGTCGGTGCGCCTCGTCATCCATAGGCTGAAGGCGGAGGACCGTTCTACTATTTGCTTAAGAACCCACCAAAAACACCTAGTAATACTCCCTATTATATTACCCTTAGAAGGAAGAACCTTTTCTATTTTTTTGGGGGGGGGGGGTTCTTAAGCCATTGGTAGTGTTGTGGGGCTACAGGTTGAGGCATTCGGCGGGTTTGAGGGTTTTGGGTGTGGGTTTAGGCTTTACCGGTTTACTCCCCCCACAAGCACGAACATCTTTGCAATAAACGCCATAAACCGTGTAAGGCCTAAACTTTAAAAAAACTCTCAACCGTTGGAATCTGAGAAGAATCTGGGGTGGTTCGATTTTTTCCCTGAGCTGCCCAAAGGTGGCAGGTGTGGTGACGGCGACTGCAGCCGGCGTCGCTGCTGGCATCTGGACGAATGAGCCCAAAACCCGAAACCCTAAAAACCGAAACCCTAACCCTAAACCTTACATCCTATGGTGGAGGATTTGGGGTTTGGGGTGCCATTTGCGGAAGAGGAACCCGCAGTCTTTAAACCTAAACCCCCACAAAGGTACTACGTAGGGTTTAGGGTCTACGGTAATTTCCCCCAAATCCCTGAGCAAACGAAGCATGCAGCAGAAAACCCTAAAACCCAACCTCCTAAACCCTATAGGACCCCAAAACCCTCCACACCCCAGGAACCTAAAGCACAAAGTCCAAAACCCTAAACCCTGAACTTTAAGCCCTAAACCCTAAACCCTAAACCCTAAACCCTAAACCCTAGACCCTAAGCCCTAAACCCTAAAACCCAACACCCCAGGCATATCCACCGCTTCGGCGGCCTCCGCGGCCCTGGCTCCCTCGGCCTGCGTCGCGGGGTCACAAAGCCTGGGCACGGTGGCCGCCGCTGGGTTAGGGGATTAGGGTTTAGGGTTTAGGGTTTAGGGCTCAGGGTTTAGGGTTTAGGGTTTAGGGTTCAGGGTTCAGGGTTTAGGGGAAAGGGGTAGAGGGATTCAGGGTCCTTTTATAACGGTCCTTCCCGAAGTGCCTAGGGGCTTGCAGGGGTTTGAGGGCTTCAAGGGTTTCAGGGTTTAAGGGGAACCCTCTCAGCCCTCAGCTGAACCGACTGTTCCTGCGAACTTAAGATGTTTTCCTACCTAAACCCTAAACCCTAAACCCTAATCCCTAAACCCTAAACCCTAAACCCTGAACCCTAAACCCTAAACCCTAAAACCTAAACACATCCTCCCTTCATGAGGGTTTGCGTAGATCCTTCGCCTTGTAGAGCACGTGCGGGTGGATCGAAATTGTAGATCAAATTGTGGGTTGATCAAACTTCGGTTCCCTTTCAGGGTACCTGAGCCACTATCATCATTTCGCCGACTCTACAAAGGAGACCATCTCTTAGGGCTCTGGTTTATATAAGCTCCAGGTGCCACCTTCCCCAAACCCAAGCCCTAAGTCCTAATTGCCCAAACGCTATTTCCCCAAAACCCCAAAACCCCAAACCCTGAACCCTAAACCCCCAACCCCAAAACCCTAAACCCTGGAAACCGCACGGAAGCCCTATGACGTTTAGAAGACACCCGGACCCAAGTCGCCTGATCGCTAACTTGTGGCACCTTCTAGGGCCTTAATTGGGGTAATTACCCCCGAAAGGGGTTTAGGGTTTAGGGTTTAGGGTTTAGGGTTCGAGGTTCAGAGTTTAGGGTTTAGGGTTTAGGGTTTAGGGTGTAGGGCTATGTCGGACCGCAGCTGCAAGAAGTGGTCCCCAGGTGAGCTTGGGCCTCATGGCCACACCCGCTGCGCCGGCGGGCGCCGTGCTGGGGGTGGCCTCGGTCAGCGGCGTGGTGGTCGGCGCGGTGGCGCCTGGGATGGAACTTTCGAGGGCTATGGCTCTCTCTGTTTGTTCACGGTCTTTTGTGCGCGTCAAGGGTTTCGGTTTTGGGTTTAGCTTAGGTTTGCGGTTGAGAAGGTTTTGGGGTTGTTGAAGCCTTCAGGATCGACTTGAGAAGAGGTGGCAACCACAGGTTTTTTGGGGTTTAGGGTTTAGGGTTTCTTGGGACGCGGGGTGGAGTGTTTAGGAAGAGGTTTGCGGAGCCAACCCCGAAACCTCCACAATCTCTTAGGATCCGCTCTAAAGGAACCGCCAAAGAAAGAGCAGCTTCAAAAGCGACCACTGGTCTAGGGTTTTAGGGGTTTAGGGGAGTAGGCTTAGGGGTTAGGCGGTTCTAGGTTTTAGGGGTTTAGGGGTTCTGGGTTTTCGGGGTTTAGGGCTTTAGAGGTTTAGGGGTTCAGGGGTTTAGGGGCTCAGGGGTTAAGGGTTTACAGGGTTGAGAGGGCTTTGGGGGCACCCCGTCTTCGCTTACAGCCCGGCGACAGGTGTTGTTTGGCTTCAAGCACGCACAGATGTCCCTTGGCCATGCCACTTTCTTGCTTTGCTGGAGCCACCCTAAGTCACCTTGAGCCCTAAATCCTGAGCCCTAAAGCCATCGAAGAGTTCTCTACATTAAGGTCCCTTTTTGGGTACCCTGAATCCTGAACCCTTAGTCCGGAACCTCTTTTTGGCATGTGTTAATCCGGAACCTCTGATCCTGAACCCTAAAACTCAACCCTGAACGCTGAATCTTAAGCCCGGGCTCCTTGAGGCCCTGAACCCTGAACCCTGAAGCTCATGCAGCTTCAGCCCGGCATACATCGCGGACATAGTATCCTGCATGCGTCGACGTCCGGCAGTCTTTATCCACTCCCGGCCCCTACTATTCTTGTCGATATCTTCGGGACAACTTGGCCTAAGCCCCAAACCCTAAACCCTAGCCCTAAACCCTAAACCCTAAACCCTAAACCCTAAACCCTAAACCCTAAACCCTAAACCCTAAACCCTAAACCCTAAACCCTAAACCCTAAACCCTAAACCCTAAACCCTGGGGGGGGGACTGCCTTCCAAGGCTCTGGCAGGAGGAGTTCAGCCTTGGCAGCTGGCACCAGCGCTTAGAAAAGGACTCCTTTGAGGGGCTTGGGGTTTAGGGTTTAGGGTTTAGGGTTTAGGGTTCCGGGTTTAGGGTTTAGGGTTCAGGGTGTTAGGGTTTGGGTTTTAGGGTTTAGGGTTCAGGGTTTAGTGTTTCGGGTTTAGGGTTTTAAGGGTGTTAAGGGTGTTAAGGGTTTTAAGGGTTTTAGGGTTTTAGGGTGTTAAGGGTTTTAGGGTTTTAAGGGTTTTAGGGTTGAAAAGTTTTAGGGTGTTTTACGGGTTTAGGGTTTTTGGGGCGTTAAGGGTTTCAGGGT